AGGAAACTGCAGGGGCTGGGCACAATTGAAATGTGGAGCTTGTTCAAGGAACAGCTACTGCGTGTCCTTGATAAGTATGTACCTGTCAGGCAGGGAGGAAGTGGTCGAACGAGGGAACCGTGGTTTACGAAAGAAGTTGAATCTCTTGTCAAGAGGAAGAAGGAGGCTTATGTAGAGATGAGGCATGAAGGCTCAGTTAGGGCGCTTGAGAGTTACAAGTTAGCCAGGAAGGACCTAAAGAGAGAGCTAAGAAGAGCCAGGAGGGGACATGAGAAGTCTTTAGCAGGTAGGATCAAGGAAAACCCTAAAGCTTTCTATAGGTATGTCAGGAATAAAAGAATGACTAGAGTAAGATTAGGGCCAGTCAAGGACAGTAGTGGGAAGTTGTGCGTGGAATCCGAGGAGATAGGAGAGGCGCTAAATGAATATTTTTTGTCAGTATTCCCACAGGAAAAAGACAATGTTGTCGAGGAGAATACTGAGATACAGGCTATTAGACTAGACAGGATTGAGGTTCATAAGGAGGAGGTGTTAGCAATTCTGGAAAGAGTGAAAATAGATAAGTCCCCTGGGCCGGATGGGATTTATCCTAGGATTCTCTGGGAAGCTAGGGAGGAGATTGCAGAGCCTTTGGCTTTGATCTTTATGTCGTCATTGTCTTCAGGAATAGTGCCAGAAGACTGGAGGATAGCAAATGTTGTCCCCTTGTTCAAGAAGGGGAGTAGAGACAACCCTGGTAATTATAGACCAGTGAGCCTTACTTCGGTTGTGGGTCAAGTGTTGGAAAGGATTATAAGAGATAGGATTTATCATCACCTAGAGAGGAATAATTTGATTAGGGATGGTCAACACTGTTTTGTGAAGGGTAGCTCGTGCCTCACAAACCTTATTGAGTTCTTTGAGAAGGTGACCAAACAGGTGGATGAGGGTAAAGCGGTTGATGTGGTGTATATGGATTTCAGTAAAGTGTTTGATAAGGTTCCCCACGGTAGCTATTGCAGAAAATACGGAGGCATAGGATTGAGGGTGACTTAGCGGTTTGGATCAGAAATTGGCTAACTGTAAGAAGACAGCGGGTGGTGGTTGATGGGAAATGTTCATCCTGGAGTTCAGTTATTGGTGGTGTACTGCAAGGATCTGTTTTGGGGCCACTGCTGTTTGTCATTTTTATAAGTGACCTGGATGAGGGCGTAGAAGGATGGGTTAGCAAATTTGTGGATGACACTAAAGTCGGTAGAGTTGTGGATAGTGCGGAAGGATGTTGCAGGTTACAGAGGGACACAGATAAGCTGCAGAGCTGGGCTGAGAGGTGGCAAATGGAGTTTAATGCAGAAAAGTGTGAGGTGATTCACTTTGGAAGGAGTAACAGGAATACAGAGTACTGGGCTAATGGTAAGATTCTTGGTAGTGTGGATGAGCAGAGAGATCTTGGTGTCCATGTGCATAGATCACTGAAAGTTGCCACCCAGGTTGATAGGGTTGTTAAGAAGGCGTAGGTGTGTTAGGTTTTATTGGTAGAGGGATTGAGTTTCGGAGCCATGAGGTCATGTTGCAGCTGTACAAAACTCTGGTGCGGCCGCACTTGGAGTATTGCATACAGTTCTGGTCGCCACATTATAGGAAGGATGTGAAAGCATTGGAAAGGGTGCAGAGGAGATTTACCAGGATGTTGCCTGGTATGGAGGGAAGGTCTTATGAGGAAAGGCTGAGGGACTTGAGGCTGTTTTTGTTAGAGAGAAGGTTAAGAGGTGACTTAATAGAGATATACAAGATGATCAGAGGATTAGATAAGGTGGACAGTGAGAGCCTTTTTCCTCAGATGGTGATGGCTAGCACGAGGGACATAGCTTTAAATTGAGGGGTGATAGATATAGGACAGATGTCAGAGGTAGGTTCTTTACTCAGAGTAGTAAGGGCGTGGATTGCCCTGCCTGCAACTGGTAGACTCCCCAACTTTAAGGGGATTTAAATTGTCATTGGATAAACATATGGATGATAATGGAATAGTGTAGGTTAGATGGGCTTCAGATTGGTTTCGCAGGTCAGCGCAACATCGAGAGCCAAAGGGCCTGCACTGCGCTGTAATGTTCTATGTTCTAAAGACTGGTTCTGCCATCATTGACACAACTGCACCAGTAACGTCCTCCATTAGAACTGGGCGGTCATTTAACCAGATGTTTATTTTATAGATGAACTTTGCAGGATGTGCCCTGTCCTGGATAACAGCGTATGAGTTATTTTATTCAATTCAGGCCTAATGGGACTCTTACTATCTCAGGTCCCCATGCTGGCAGCAACAACAATAGCCTACCTGCTTGGATCTCAAGAAAATTTTAACCATTTGGCTAAGGCTTGGTTTCGTTTTGGAGATTTTCTGAGGGCTGACTGAGAGTCCCTCTGTTCAGGCTATGTCCTGAGTACGGCTATGAAGTTGGTTTCACTCAAGTGATGCTCCCCAAGCTCAGTCGGCCAAGCGAGAGTGTCCGTTTCCATCAGAATACTCTAACTCAAACTCCAGTTACCGCATTTTCTAATGACAATGCTAGTTGCAGTGCCTGCTTGAAGTCTAGTTGGGCTTTAGCTTGTAAGCATTGTTGCATCGTTGTATCATTAATTCCACATACCAAATGGTGTCTCAGCATCTCACTTAGGGTTAAACCAAAATCGCATGCCTTTGCCAGTCGTCTCAAATCCAAACACAGACTCTTCTGGTTCTCAAACTGCTGAGGAAAACTGAAAGCACCTCAGAATTATAGGAGGCTTGGGGTTGCAATATTCCTTTGCTAGTCCGTAAACTCTTAAAAAGGTTTTAGTATCTGGTGCTTCAGGGAAAATTAGGCTTCCAACAACCGAAAGAACTATGGGTCCACAAACTGTCAAGAAAATTACGCGTTACTTTTCATCTGCCCCAATGTCATTTGCCCACAATAGATAATGCATTCTTTCTATATACAGACCCAGTCTTCGATGGCTGGATTGCACGAGTCAAGCTTCCCAAATGGCGGCATGGTGCCAGAAATGCTTACGCTCACTCAAAGATCACTGTTGCATGCGAATCTCTTCAGGTATGTGTTATTTCTCTCGTTGTAACTGAAATAACTCCAGCATCCGGTCACCAAGTCACCCTTTATTTACATGTGCATAATACATGACACTAACATATCTAGCACAGAGCCAGCTCCTGCATTGAGCAGAACCCCTGACCCTCCTGTTTTTAAGCTGTCAGCCAGGACTCCCCCTCAATCAGGGAGCTCATATTCTATGACATCCACCTGGTTGGCCTCATTACAATCACTGCACTCACCATCACTTTCTCAAAGGCAACTAGAGATGGGCAATAAATGCTGACCCTGCTAGTAATGCCTACACTGAAAGAACTAAAAGTCTAAATCAGTGTTACTGTGCTTATGAAAGGGCATGGTGCGTTGGAAATAAGATTGGAGAGTTACAGGCGCAGACTGGATCAAGAATGGAATTGTGATAGACCACAACAATAAGGTTGGCAAAGATACTGTATTGAAAAATGGGCTATCTTAAAAGGGTAGTTAAGTCCGCAGGGCCCATTGGGATCTATGCAAGGTTACTGAAGGAGGAAAGGGAGGAGATTGCTGGGGCCTTGTCAGAGATCTTTCTATCCTCAGTCAAAGGTGAGATCCCCGGAGACAGGAGAATAATCAACGTTGTTCCTTTGTTTAAGGAGGGCAACAGGGATGATGACCTTACAGAAGTTTTTTAAAATCATGAGGAGATTAGATAAGGTGAATGGTAGGTGTCTTTTCCCTAGGGTTGGATTTTGCAAGACTAGGGGGCATATTTTTAACGTCAGAGGAGAAAGTTTTAAAAGAAGATACGAGGGGCAATTTTTTTTGTTTTTTACTGAGTGTGGTTCGTGTGTGGAATGATTTTCCAGAGAAAGTGGTAGACGCAGGTACAGTTACAATGTTTAAAAGACATTTGGACTGGTACACGAATAGAAAAACCTCTGGAGGGATGGGGGCCAAGTGCAGGCAGGTAGGACTAGTTTAGTTTGGGATTATGGTTGGCAGAGACTGGCTGGACTGAAAGGTCTAGGCTAGCACGAGGGGACATAGCTTTAAATTGAGGGGTGATAGATATAGGACAGATGTCAGAGGTCGGTTCTTTACTCAGAGTAGTAAGGGCGTGGAATGCCCTGCCTGCAAAAGTAGTAGACTCGCCAACTTTAAGGGCATTTAAATGGTCATTGGATAAACATATGGATGATAATGGAATAGTTTAGGTTAGATGGGCTTCAGATTGGTTTCACAGGTCGGCGCAACATCGAGGGCCGAAGGGCCTGTACTGCGCTGTAATGTTCTATGTTCTATGCCCTATGTTCTATAACAATCAACCACATACAATAAGGTTTATGATGTACCAGGTAAAGCTGATATGAAGGATAAGAAACTGCATTGGATACGTGACTTTGTAAAAATGGGTTGTGTTGAAACAGGAAGTCACGCGAAACTTTTACAAATCTTTCATCATACCTCAACTGAGCATTATGGACATCTCTAAGTACATTTTAGGAAGGATAGCAAGGCTTTAAAAGCTGCAGAAGAGGCTTACCAGGATAATTCTAAGGATGGCATGCGGTTCGTTATGTGGAAACTTGGATCGCTCTCCTTACAACAGGGGAGGTTAAACTACAACCAAATAAAAGCATACAGAACTATGGAAGCATTCTGATGAAGCAAGTACGGAGAAATGTGTCCTCTGCCAAGAGGGACAGTAAATAGTCGGCAAAAACAAGAAGGGAAATTAGGAAAGTTATTTCTGGGTGTTTGGATCATTGCCTTACAGGAAGCAGAATTTCATTGAAATGTTACAAAAGCAATTATATAGTTTGTTCAATTGGATATATAAATAACACTGATGTGGCAGGCTGAGAGGTTAACCGTGATTCAATGGTTTACTGAGCAGAAACCAACATTGTGCTGATTGCCAAAAATCACAGGAGTTAAGAACCAGCCATTTCGTACCTTCCCAGGATGACATCTTTGCAGCCAGTTGTTGTCACAAATATATTTCCCTCTTTACATGCATCATCCATGGTGGTGACCTCATAACCTAACAAATAAAACAAGCTGGATAACATTCACAAGAGTCAGAATTGATGGGACAAAGATACAGAAGGATTTTGTGAGTAAAGCTCAACTGAACCAGCCCAAGTCTTGGTTACTGTTACTCAATTAAGTGGTCAAAGTTGCAGTGTTAATGAGGGAAAAAGGGTGAAGAGGAAGGCATTTTATTCTTGGATTAAAATCTACTTCAAAGAGAAAAGCATTGATCTCTCAGTTATAGGTAAAATATTTATAATAGTTTGAAACACCTTCAAATGCTTGCTCAAAATCATCTTCTGCACTGTCTTCACTGCGTCCACGTTGAAGCGTGGCTGCCAAAACTATGCACAGAATTCCAGCTGAAGTCCAACTAGGATCTTATTCAAGTATAGCATAATCACCCTGCTCTTGTATACGATGTCCCTATTAATAGGGCTGAGTACAGTGTATACTATAGGATCATAGAATCTTACAGTACAGGAAGCCAATCAACCCATTGTATCTATACCAGCTACTAAAAGAATGACCTAGCCAGTCCCATTCTCCAGGCTTATCTCCGTAGCTCTCTAAATTCATCACTTCCAAATATATATCCAGCTCTCTTTCGAAACCTCCTATGGAATTTGCCTCCACCACTCTCCAAGGCAACACATTCCAAATCCTAACAATTGAGTAAAGAAGGTTCTCCTCATCTCACTCCTAACTCTCTTGCTGACAATCTTGAAATTGTGATCCCTAGTTATTGACATACCAACTAGTGGAAACAGAATATTCTTCTTTACCCTGTCAAAATTGTTCATAATCTTGAACATCTCAATGGGGTCACTTCAATCTTTTTTGCTTCTAGGAGAATAAGCCCAATTTTTCTAATCTTTTCTTCTATCTAAGATCCCTCATTCCTAGTATCATTCTACTAAATCTCTGTTGAACTTTCTCCAGGGCTTTAACATCCTTCCTTAAATAACATACCCAGAACTGAACTCCAGTGAAATCCCCCACCTAGGATACATTTTGTCCCCTTGCCTTCCTCCAAGCATTGTTCAACATGAAGATACACTGATTAAATCAACTGAAGGACTACAGCCTGTGGAAATGAGCAGAAAGTTTCCTTGCCCGTGGTCAACCTGAAACTATGAAACTTCATGGGGTCTGCAGTCAATGTTAAGGACTTCCAGCGCAACTACCTCCTGAATGTATGCCACTGTGCTGACACCCCTTCTGGGTCTGTCTTGCATATGGAGCACAGGAGGTTGAGTGGTGACCTTCTAGAAGTTTATAAAATCATGAGGGGTATAGATAGGGTTAATGGTAGCAATCTTTTTCCTAGGTTGGGGGATTTCAAGTCTAGGGGGCACATTTTTAGGGTGAGGAGAGAGAGATTTAAAAAAGACATGGGGGTAAATTTTTTTACAGAGGGTGATTCACCTGTGCAATGAAATTCCTGAGGAACCGGCGGATGTAGGCACAATTACAATGTTTGAAAGACATTTGAATAAGTGCATGAATAGGAAAGGTTTGGAGGGATATGGGCCAGGAGCAGGCAGGTGGGACTAGTTTAGTTTGCAATTATATTCAAAATAGACTGGCTGGACCGAAGGATCTAGTTCTGTGCTGTATGACTCTGACTCAATATATGGCCTCCTCGAAAGCTCCATAATATACCTTCTTCCTTCTGAAAAATATCAGTGAACCATTTCTTTCCGTTTCCTGTCCTCAGCCAATCTTGTAGCCAGATTGCTACTGTTCCTTTTATCCCTATTATAGTGGGTGTTAGCAGAATGAACCTGGGGGTGAAGTGTGGCAGGAACTACCGGAAAACCAGCTGGGGCTCCACTGTTGGGGGACTCAGGCTCCGAAGTGGTGGCCGGAGCGGAGCTGAACCCAGAGGCAGAGGTGACGTCGAGACTCAAAACATGATATGGGTTTGGAGATGGCAAGATAGCAGGACCAGTCCTGAAGAAGGTAATACCCAAAATGTTGACTTCGCTTTTCCTGAAGATGCTACCTGCCTTGGCTGTGTTCTTCCAGCCTCCTGTTTGTCTACCTTGGCCACTCAGGAACCAGATCTAGAGACTGAGTGAATAGTGTCAGGAGGGGGACAGGGTATACAGTACTTACTTTTGTCACAGTAGTTGTTAGGAATAGAGTGCAAGAGTGAGAAATCTGATTTTGGTTAGTAGTGGGTAAGGTTGTCTAATTCCTAGCTCCTATGTAATTGTCTGTACGTTGGATTCAAAACAGCAAGAGAACCTGGCCCTGTAGAATGCTCCTCCTGCATTGTGGGAAATCAGAGACATTTCCAGTGCTCATGGTCATTGCTTATGTGGAAAGTGTGCTCAGCCGCAGTTCTTGATTTACTGAATGGAGCACCCGAGGCTATGGATGGACTCTCCATGGGCATCTATAAGGCTGAGACTGTCATAGAGAGCACGTTTAGCAAGTTGGTCACACTGGTAGTAAGTGCTACAAGAGAGTTGGGTGACCACCAGGAAGACTAGTAAGCATGGGCAGGCAGTGCAGGACTCCCCTGTAGCCATTCCCCACTCAAACAGATATAACCATTTTGAATATTGTTTAGGGGAAGGGCCTCTCAAGGGAAAGCAACAGCAGCAGCCAGATCATTGGCAATATGACTTGGCTCTGATGTATAGCAGGGAGGGTCAAAACATAGATGAGTGGTAGTGATAAGGGACTCTGTAGTCAGGGTGACTTTTAGATGTTTCTGTGGGCACGAATAAAACCCCTGGGGGGAGTGTTGCCTCCTTGGTGCCAGGGTCAAGTATGTCTGAGCAGGCACAGGACATTCTGAAGGGAGAGTGTGAACAGCCAGAGGTCATGGTCCATAGTGTACTATCAACGTTGGCAGAGATACAGAGCACGAGAGCGAGCGAGAAAGTGAGCGCGAGCGAGAAACAGAAAGAGAGAGAGAAACAGCGAGAGAGAGAGAAACAGCGAGAGAGAGAGAAACAGAGAGAGAGAGAGAAACAGAGAGAGAGAGAGAAACAGAGAGAGAGAGGAGGTCCAGTAAAAGGAGTTTTAGGGTGTTAAGTAGGAAATAATACAATTGAGCGCATGGCTAAAGAAGCAGGTGTAGGAGGCAGGCCTTCAGATGTCTGGATCATTGGGATCTCCTCCAGGACATGTACAAGAAAGATATCTAACTAAATTGGAAGGGCACCAATGTCTTTACAGGGAGGTTTGCTAGAGCCACTCTGGAGGGTTTTATCTCATGCAGCCCAGCAGGGGTATGGGGAGAGAACAGTAGGCTTCTTTATCTTTTTTTCTTTTTCATTCATGGGATGAGGGTATCGCTGGCTAGGCAAGTATTTATTGCCCATCCCTAATCGCCTAGATGGCAGTTTCCTTCCCTAAAGGACATTGTGAACATTGGATTTTACCAACAATCGGTAATGGATTCATGGTCATCACGAGATTCAAATTTTTGTTGAATTCAAATTCCACCATTTGTAGTGGCATGAATCAAACCTAGGTCCCCAGAACATTAGCTGGGCTTGAATCCTGCACTGCTCCCACCCAGACCCACCCCATCATTGTAACCCCGCATGGGTTTTACCATGGCTAACTCACCTAAAACCTGCAAATCTTTGGATGTTAGAGGGCAATTTATTTTAAATATGACCAATCCACCTAACCTGCACATCTTTGGACTGTAGGAGGAAACCTGATCATCTGGAATAAATCCATACAGACACAGGGAGAACAAGCAAACTCCAAACAAACAATCACCTAAGGCTGGAATTGAACCTGGATCCCTGGTGCTGTGAAGTAGCAGTGCTATCTACTGAACCATCATGCTGCCTGAGGAGTTGCCCTTGAGAAGGTGGTGATGAGCTGCCTTCTTGAACTGGAGGTAGATCCAGAATGCTGTTGGGAGGGCATTCCAGGATTCTGACCCAACAACACAGAAGAAATAGCAATAGATTTCCAAGTCAGGATGTTGAGTGGCTTGGAGGGGAACTAGGTGGTGGTGTTCCCCTGTATCTGTTGCTCTTGTCCATTTAGATAGAAGTGGTCATGGTTTGTAAGGTGCTGTCTAAGGATCTTTAGAGAATACACACTGCTGCTGCTGAGCATTATTGGTGGGGCGAGTGGCTTTTTGTGGATTCTATCCAAAATTCAAAGTTAAACTTAGTGATCTGTAATTGATGGGCTAATTTCTACACACTTTAGAGTCATAGAGATGTAAAGCAAAGAAACAGACCCTCCAGTCCAACTCGTCCATGTCGACCAGATATTCTGAACTAATCTACTCCCATTTGCCAACATGTGGCCCATAACCCTCTAAACCCTTCCTATTCATATACCCATCCAGATGCCTTTTAAATGTTGTAATTGTACCAGCCTCCGCAACTTCCTTGGCAGTTCATTCCATACACACACTAATCTCTGTGAAACAGTTACCTTTTAGGGTCCTTTTAAATCTTTCCCACTCTCACCTTAAGCCTATGCCCTCTTGTTTTGGATTCCACTACTTTAGGGAAAAGATTTATTCACCCTATCCACACCTCTCATCATTTTATAAACCTCTATAAGGTCATCCCTCAGCCTTTGATGCTCCAGGGAAAATAGTCCCAACCTGTTCAGCCTGTCCCTATGGCTCAAACCCTCCAACCCCGGCAATACTGTTGTAAATCTTATTTGAACACTTTGAAGTTTCACAACATCCTTCCAATAGCCGGGGTGGGGGGGCGCAGAACTGAACGCAGTATTCCCAAAGTAGCCTAACCAATATCCTGCACAACTGCAACATGACATCCAACACCTATACTCAATACACCGACCGATAAAGGCAAACGTACCAAACGCCTTCATCACTTCCCTTTCTACCTGCGACTGCGTTTCAAGGAACTATGAGCGTGCATCCTAACGTCTCTTTGTTCGGCAACACTCCCCCAGGACACTACCATTAAACAAGTCCTGCTCTGAGATGCCCTACGAAAAAGTGCCGGAAGATTGGACAGTGGCAAATGTCATTCCCTTGTTCAA